GACGAAGCACCGACAACGGGCGCGACGAAGCACCGACAACGGGCGCGACGAAGCACCGACAACGGCCGCGACGAAGCACCGAGAACGGCCGTGACGAAGCACCGAGAACAGCCACGAGGAAGCACGGAAAATGCCCGTGACAAAGTGACAAAGCACTGAAAATGACCAAAGTAAAGCATCAAAACGAACATGACGAAGTATCAAAACAGCCGTCACAACAAACCAAATTGTCCATGACGAAGCACCGAAAACAGCCAATCATGAAGCACCAATTTATGCCCAGGGTATTCCAGTAATGACTTCCTATACCTATGTATCAGAAGTATATACAGGTGTGAGAGAGTTTTTAATTAAATTCTTTTAGCCACATATTCATAGATTATTCAGACAACTCGGTGGAAAACATACCACAAACACCCTGAGCGTGCAAAATGAAATGCATGAAACCTGTAAGACGTCCCATCGGGTGTCTCCCCAAGCCGTCTGGCTCCAGGGCCCTGCCTCTCTGCCAAGGATAAACCTTTAAATGTCAGGTGGATGCAAGATGGAAATGGGGGGGGAGGGATGAACCTGTTTGTGCACGGGGAGCAGGTCCAGGACTCCATCCACCTTCAGAGGCTCATCTGCAAACTCAGACCACGTCGCCAAGAGGCTGCTGAGGTCACCTGACATGCTGTAGCCTGGAGTGGCGGGAACAGAGGCCAGCAGACGTCAGCGGGAGACCAGACTGATAACAGCTTTGATCATTCAAGTGGCTCCCTAACTGACAGGTAGATATAGAAAACAGATAACAGATTCCCATCTGTGCACAACATATTCCAAGGCTAAGCCTTTCCCCCCGTTCTTAGGTCTATTTTCTGACTTCAAAGCCCAATTGTTACTGTTACTGATGTCTAGATCTGTTTATAATTATTGACATAACTCTATTACCCTTCCCATATGTGTAAATATGATTCAAATGATGTAAATATGATTTTGACTGCTTATTGTGAGCTGTTAACCTCTGTGCGAAAATGTGCATCTGCTAATTTGTCTTTTGGTCAATCAATAAAATCTAAAAATAAACAAATGAACAAACAAACAAATAGCCCCCTAACATTGGCGACCCCCCCCCCCCTTTGCTCTCACTACTAACATAAGTCAAAGATGTAGACACTAGATGGAACAAAGACCTAGATAACAGGGAGGACAGAATGGCGACAGGTTTTCAGCCTCGGGGGGAGGGGGGGGGATCCGGGGACCTGGCTCACCCAGCTTGAGGATGGAGGGATCAGCGAAAAGCTGCCGGACGGCCTGGACCATGGAAAGGTGGCGGGAGAAGTCGGCAGCACACAGGTCCAGTAGGAAGACGTGTCCTGGCGTGGCCAGCTGGATGAGAGCCACCTTCTGCGGGGCGACACAGCCAAAGCCCGCACGCCACTCCATGTCCACTCCGACCAGAGAGCCGGGCTAGTGGGGGCGGGGGCAAGGAGGGGCAGGATGAGGCTTCATTAAAAAAATAAAGCTCAAGTAATTAGTACAAGAACAGGTACATTGTACAGTGTGTGTGTGTGTGTGTGTGTGGTCTAGTTATACATTACATTGTGGGGACCACCAAGTGATAAAAACCTGTTATTTTGGCATTGTGGGGACCATTTTTTCAGTCCCCACAAGGGGATACAGAATTTAACAAAAAATCTGTGACTGCAATCAAAAAACTAAAAATGGTGGGGCTATTCTGCGAAGGACAGGACTTGAGCTGACGACCTTCTGATGACAGGAACAGAAGTGTCTCTATATCCCCCGCCCCAGCACACTGACGGCGGTTTTCCACTGGCATACAGGAACCGAGCCGTACCCGGGCCGTACTGCGAAGACACACTAGTTACAGTGCGGTTCCAGCTCGCTTTGGTTTTCCACTACAGAAGGGTCGTCTCGGTCAAGGCGTTGCCGGGTTTGGAAAACGACAGTGACGTAAAACCAGAGATGCTTATTTACTGTTCACACGGTGTACATCATGATTTACTGTGTGCTAATTACCACTAGCATGTCTGTGGTAATTGCCGTGTTACGTTAGCATCAAACGCTAGTGGAATTAGCATTCGCTTGCATAAATTTGCATTACAAATCCATTCCATTCAGCCATCCCATAGTACTTTTTTTAAATAGAGGCTGGAAATTTTCAAGTTCAGAGTTATTGGGAATGAATCAATACATCGCAATGTGTGATACTACTAATATTGAATAATATATAGAATATGCCCTTTCCCCCCCCCCCATCAGATAATCCACGTGCAGGATATCGTTATCTCCATGCATTTCGACCAATCAGATGGTGGTGACGCAAACGGTTCGGTTTGGTCATGCTTTCCACCCAGGTAGTAAGCAGGACCATGTCAACGTGGATACGGGTCGGGTACTTTACAATGGAAATGTGCCAGCTGGCAGTATGGTTCCGGTAAAGGTCGGTTCTTGGTTGCAGTGGAAAAACACCAACAGACAGAGAGAAACACAGGGATTGACTCGTACACATCAGCAGACGCACACCGGGCCTCTGGTACCTGTAGTGCCACCTCTCTGCACAGGTCCAGCAGCTCCAGGGTGTTGACGAAATGGACGTTTTCCTTGGAAACAGGAAGCTGGTAATACCTATCTCGCTCAGTCCCAGGGGGGTCCCAGGGCTCTGGCGACAGAGAGGCGTCCTCAGATCTGCCATTGGGAGAAGATGTTATCTTAAAGAGAAAAGTCCCCACCCTTTCCCTTAGAAGCAGGACAGAATGTGATAAGGAGCGTTCAGAGATGCACTTTGAACTCAAGAATGCCATGAAGTGGAAACAGGACAAAGGGGGGTGTTTGATCTAAATGGAGGTGTGAAGAGGAAGATCTTCATCTGTAGCCAGCCGAGTGAGTGTGTGTGAGAGAGAGAGAGAGGGAGAGAGAGAGAGAGAAAGAGAGAGAGAGACAGACCAGTGTGACCACGTAAGGGGTTTATCAAGGGCACTCATTTGCAACTAGGTGCCGTCACACTCAAGTCGTTAAGGCACTTCATTTGGGGCAGAATGTACCACCATTTGCAAGAACTTTACGAGCCGGGAATGTGTGTGTGTCCCACCACAAGTCAAAAAAAATAAAAAAATTTAAAAGAGAGACAGGAAGGCAGACGATGACCTCAGACAAATGGCAGGACACTCACACATAGAAATAATTTGGCAACTGGCACAGATATGGACCCAGACTGGTAGACAAATGGGTTCCAAGGCCAGTCCAGGAAAGCAGCCCGGAACCACAGAGAAACATGCTTGTTACTGGTTAATCAGAACTCCATCAAGGGATCTTAAGCCAGAGGTCTCACACTACCGGGCCACCAGACGTTTTATACGGTCCTTTACACGTTTTTAATCCATTATCGAATCATTTTCCACTTTGTATTTTTTCATTTAAGTGATCTGCATAGAACTGGTTTTTTGGATTAGCGGAATAAAGACGTCGTACCTTTTTTTCTGCTCTCTCCAATTTATCTTCCAGGTCATAAAAAGTAGCTTGAGTGCGCCCCCCCCAGGGAAAAGAACGCTAGCCAGTGGCCCCCGGGTAATTTGAGTCAGACACCTACGCTATAAGTTCCTTACTGCCGTTAACTAGCTAAATAAAGACTGCGTAAGTCATGCTCACCGATGCGCGGGGGGTAGACTCTGCTGCACCTCCCACACCTCAGGAGGAACGTTCTCTTTGGGGACGCCGTAGTGGAGTGACCACTGCGCTGCAATCTTCAAGCCACTGTACTTAACCAGGAGCTCCAGCAGGCGAGCCTGCAGTTCTGGGTTGTCCCCTACTGTCGCCTGGTGATGCGGGGGGGCCGGCAGACACAGAAGGTCATGCCGATATACAGAAGCAGATTTAGAAGAGAATCTGGCACTAAAAAAAAACAAATTAAATACCAAACAAAAATGGCCGTGATGGTTGTCAATATTCATATTATTGTTGAAGTAACATACAGGCTGTTATTCTGAACAGTTTTTTTATGGCAGACGTTCATGTTACATGTGGTTCGCCAAACACCTGGGCCTCCCTACCTGAACATGGTCACTCCAGTTCTCTTCAGACATGCTCTTCTGAAAAGACACAGGAGGAAGAAACCTTCATGAAACTGACGCGACTGAGTTAACTGACGGAGACGGCACTAGAGACAAAAAAAATTAATCCAGCAACATCTACCTCAGACTTCCTCACCTCAATAAACTTCTTGTACATGAGAAACTTCAGAGAATCCAGCTTCCTCTTGGTGACAGAATTGGGACACAGGGCTGTAACGGAGCGGACGGTTTATCGTGAAGGTTGCCAGGGAAGATGACAATGCTTGGTTTGTGTCTAGACGGGGGTGGTATGTGGCTCGGCGAGGCAGGACATCTCGTCCGCAATCAGAAGGTCAGCAGATCAAATCCTGCGGTCGACAGACTGGCCCTTAAGCCCTAATTGCTCCAGGGACTGTATGACCCTGCTTTCTGTATTGAATGCTGCTTTAGATAAAAGCATTTACTAAATAAATAAAAGCAATAACAATAATAATGACATTTTATGACACATATGTCGGCAGCAGCAAGTTCGGCAGCAAAGTTTGGCCGCCTGCATGCGCCCACGGAGCCGGGGGTTAAGGGCCTCTCCCAAGGGCCCACACACATGTGACTATTCCGCCGAGGCCAGGCTCGAACCAGGGACCTTCCGAGCCCAGGCACAGAGCCTTAGCCTGCTGAGCCACACGCTGTCCCCCAATGTCAACGCATTCAAACCTGCGTAGTAAAATCAGTGCTTATGTGAGTGTCCACCATCCCAGTCACCTGAGTCAAGGCTGAACTGCTGCATTAGCCGGAACACCTGCTTGCTGATCATCTTGGGCTGAATGCGTTGGGTTTGGTGCTGAGACAGACACAGATCGGGGTACTGCCTGCAAGACAAAGAGCAGTCAACCGACGTCATGCCTGTGCAAACCCCCCAGCTTCTGTGTGTTACTGTGGTCATGAAGAACTTGGGGACACTCTGATAACTTGGATATTGCACAACTGTTATGTTAGCTTGTTAACACAGCTTTACATTAGCAAGCCAGTCCAGGCCTGACCCTAAATCATTCCACTTTTTCCTTCCATTACTGTACAAATCATCATGAAGTATGGCAAACGTTAATTCGCCACTTCTGCTCTACAGCATGACCAAGCAGAGCCAAAGACTACCTACAACTGGCACATGGCAGCATTGCGTTCTGCGACTGAATAAATGCTATGTGGTCACGTTCAAGAATTTAGTAAAAGTTTTTAGTACGTACCTAATCAAATCGAATGACCTCTCTGTTGAAGTACTCTTCACTGGGACCTACACTAGACTAGAGTATTCTAAAACTTAAAGATCAGTCTAAAATACTCTAAAAGAATAACCTAAAAGATCAGCTTAGAGTATTCTCAAACTAAAGTAGTCCAGAGTAGTCTGAAACTAAAAATGTTGCTTAATATCCAATGCCTTTATAGCCAGCAATATTAGATAGTTAGCGAATTTGTACAAAATGCTGCTCTTTTCAGCCGGAAGCTAAATCCCTAAAGCAGTTCACAGGTTATCCAGGAGGCCATTCTTCTTAATTTGCTGTGTAACCTACATAATGCCCTAATTCAGGTTCCTTATTACAATGAGCTTGTTCTTGGTCCAAGAGAGACAGTTTAAGGGAGGAATGTGGAGGACAGTGGGACACTGTGACAGCGATAGTGGATTATGGCCACAGAGAACCGTGCAATCAGGGTCCTAAGGCTAATTAAGCCCACGAAGAAGCGCACAATCGGGGAGCTAATTAAGACCTCATTGCTCTACGACGCAAACTACTGAAACTGAGAAAAAGGGCTTCAGAGTTTCCTCACTGTCCACATGCATTTGTAGGAGGTAAATAAGTGTTTTTTGCAAAACCGAGTATAGCTGAACTAAGAATTTTTCTCACGAGATGAAAAAGAGAGTAAGAGATAACTTTTGATACAGAATGCAGTGACGCCATTTTGCCTTTGAAGGGCCGCTCTGCATGCCCGTGGTGAGCTCTGGAGCCGGTACCTTTCTAACTGGGCCACGCTGAAATCCGGGCTACACCACGAGTCCAGGAGCTTAACCAGCCACTCCTCTAGATGACGGTGTCCCCGCACGTATGATTCAGCCAATTGCAGCTTGTCCTGCAGGATGAGGGGCACGCACATCTGCAGGGAGACATACGATAGGACCCTCGCGGTCAGGTGGCCGTTATCTCCAATCCGTCAATGCTACACACACACCTTTTCTCTTTAAGATAACATCTTCCCCCAACAGTCACATTTACACTATCCAATTCAGAATGGACCGTTCAAAAAAACGAGTATGCCCCAAACTTGGTCTGACTACTTTTTGTTTGGAGTATACATCTCCCTGTACAAAATGATCAAGCAAATAATTATTATTCTTAAGATAGATTCTTAAGACCAGAAAGGACCTTAGAGAGAGCAGAAAACAAAACAAAAAAGATTTTAGCGTCAGTCAGAGGAAATTTGGAAAAGTGGGAAGCACAGAAACACTAAAACTTTGTTGTTACACAGATTTTTTTACTTCTGTTCTTAGTGAGAGAAAAATCATCTTAGTTGTTGATTGCCTAATAATTATGCACATTGATAATCAAGTGGTTTTCTTTTATTTTTGTTTATCACGATATGAAACCATTAACTTTATTAAGAACCTCAAATCCCTAGCAATAATCAGGATGCAATGTAAAGGATTACATTAAAATTTCATAGTATGTGATTGTTACTTATGCAATGTTGATCTTACATGTACATTTATGTAGGTCAATGTTTAATATGTTAAAAGCTATAGTACATCTCCAGTTAGGCATACACAGTGAAGCTCCCAGACCAGGCTACCAGAGCCGCAGATGGAGGGTCACACGATGGCGCGGAGTCACCCTCACCTCCTCCACGTCCAGATCGGCCTGCAGCTCCAGCTTGGTGCTCAGCAACACCGCCTTCGAGGAGGAAAAGGGGGAAAACACGTGCTTCAGGAACAGGGCAAAGCGAAACAGGCAGATTTTCGGAATGACATTACATCTTTTTTTATTCTGTAGAAAACAAAAGATCGACCTATAGGTCACATTTTATAATGAGCTATAAACATGTGGCTGGTACTTTGAAGTGCTGAATGCACTGAGAAAATCCTCCAGTACAGAAAGTGACTGTCCAATGCAATTGTCTTAATTATTTTACTAGTTGTGTCTTTAGTTCTGGTGCTGCTAACTTAAAATATTCATAAAGTTTAAGTATTGGCCGGCAGTACTGGCCAAGATGGACGCATCAGACCGATGCCAATATCTTGTTTTTTTAAACAAATATCAGCCGATACCAATATATTAAACAATAAATCGTGCATCTTTTTACTTAGCTAGCTAGTTAGCTACCTTAGACCATCTTGACCAAAAGTATCATAATACAAAGATTATTTTAACCATTAAAGAGAGCATTCTGTGCTACAAAACAGAAGGTTGCCAGAAGTACATTATTACATATTGTTTGTTCCATTTTCAGAAGGACAATATGTAATGCAAAACAATAACAATAATAAAGGGGGGAAAATATCGCTCATAATCTGGATTCTGAGTGAAAAACTCATGATTCATATTTTACCCTGAACCATGCAGCCTTACACTTAGGTGTGCTGTATGTTTTTTTGCAAATAGTATATATGTATGTTTTTATTATTGGGTGTGTAATGGTAGTCTTGTGCAGAATGTATTAACGTAAAAAGCTATTTGGCTCAGACATGTAGCAAGCAACTAGAGGAGGCGGGGCAAGACATCTGATTGGTTGGTCTTGCCTCCTCTTGTTGCTTGGACCCACCTCCTCTACAATCTGATTGGTTCTCTCTCTGAACCAATCATTTTTCATTCTGCCCTCAGAACATTTCTGTGTAAGTAAAAGCCCTCGTTTCCCCCTCATCTGATTTACAAATCCCGCACCCACCTCTCTATGGCAGCCAGCGACCTGCAGTTTTCTCATATGTGCCAGCAACAGGCCTCGGTCCAGGCAGTGCAGATGGTATACGTCCAGCAGGGGGTCAATGAAGCTGGGCTGGGGGTCGCTGAGCAAGCCCAGTGCCCTGAGCTGCAGTTCTCTCGCCCGTCCGGCTGGTTCCTGCTGCAGACAGACCTGGGGGTGGCCCTGCCTCCAGAGCTGGAATTCCGCTAGGATGCACTGGCCGAGCGAGTTAGCCTTAGCCCTCTGTAACTCCAGGCAGCCCTCCAGGATGCACAATAGGCCGCTCAGGGGCTCCCGCAGGCCAGAGAAGCCCCTACGGGCCTCCGCACGCAGCTGAGGGAACGGAAACCGAATTTAAACACCGCGTTCGTCTACGAGCACGTCCGCCCCACAATACAAACAGCCGTGAGTGCTGGCGAGAAGGCTCCCTCACCTGGGCGAGCTCCCTCTTTGCCCACAGCTCCAGGAGGTGATCGCGAAGGTCGGCAGGGTCGACACCTGGGGCATAGGCTTTATGAGGCTACAGGCAGGCATCCCATTACCCCGGAGCCGCGAATACTCTTTAAAGACCACTGTTTCCCCCACTGGGAAAAACAAATCTCCACAGTGACTGCTTAACTGTGACTAGGCTACACACATGGTGGATCTGGAAGCCAGGCTTCCTGGAACAACAACCAGCCTCAGGTCTAACCGGGCATCATACCAGCATACCAGTATATAACAGGCATCATACCAGTATACCAGTATATAACAGGCATCATACCAGCATACTCAAAGGTTTAAACTGTAGATTTATGTAACTACTCAGTGCCAACCACAAGCTTCAATTGATAGACCGAGTGGAAACGCCCTCCCCCCCCACCATATTTTCAACTCTCCTTATTGCTATTAAAGTGCAACTTTCATTTGCATTGTCCATCCACTTTCAGGCGAAAACATGTCGCCAAAAGACAGTGATTAAAACGGTGCGATTGGCAGTTACAGGATGCTGATAGGTAGGTCAATACATTATGGGATTTATACTGCATGCTGGAGCAGAAAGCTAAGCAAAAAAACCCAGCAAGCAAGGGCTGCTATTCAGCAGGCAGCACCTGGCTCTGCTGGTCCTGGCAGAGCACTGACCCATCTGTGTGTGACACTCCCAGGCTTCTGGGGACCACGGCACAGCAGCAGAAGCTTTAGAGTAACGAGGCCACACCACTGGCTAGATACTTTCCTCAGACTTTGGCTCTCAGTCTGTTTAAGTGCGAGGCTGCCCCCCCCCCTCCCACGAGGGCCGGCTCACTCCCTCCCTGCCAAGCACAGCTTTCCTGTTCCCCTCTCTCAGCCGGTCCGTGTTTGTCTCGCATTTCCCCAGGAAAAGGCAGCACGGTTGTCACGGTGTAAAAAATCCAACCTTCCTGACGGACAGCCTGGGAACGAAGGCTTTGGGAGGGGGGGCGGGGGGGGGGTCACTTTCCCCATGCCTGCCTGTGACCGGCGTTACAGCACAACAAAGCTCTAGAGCTTTCCACTGGCCTCCTCCGAATTCCTCCCTGCTACCCTCCTCCTCCATGAGGGGAAGGTAGGGGGGGCAGAATGGGGGGCAATGACGCGGCTCTCAGAGAGACGCAGGTAAGGGGGGCAGATTGACGGCACCCGTGGGTGCAATATTGTACAGCGCCCCCGGACGGGCAATCCTGCCATATACCCATCTCTGGCTCATCCAGCGTTCATGATGAAACAACAGTGAGGCACATTTAACCTTCGCCTGGCACATAAAACATGCTAACACAATTCTTAAGAGCAACAGGGATATATTGTAGTGTGTTGGCCTTCTTATATAATACATCAATGAAAGCCATATTTACTAAATACTAGGCACCATAATTCCTATGGTTGCCCTAATAGCAACGCTCACACAGAGCCATCATGGACTTCCTTATTGGGTATAGATGTTAGGAGACAGATAAAGCCCCGTATTCCCCTTCGCTAGCCCTGCATTAAATGATTACTAGGCCACGATCTCCACAGCTGAACACAATGTGTTTGTGCTGCGGTGAACAAGAGTACAGCGGGTTCAACTCACCCCGATCTTGTGAAATGTCAACCATTATTCTCCTCTGCTGCTACTGCCAGTTAGCAGGTCACACCGGCCTGAAAAAGAGGTGCGTCATTATTACTGCGGAATAGACCATCAATGGATAAAGCATCTAATGGAAAACCCTTCTTAAGGGACATTGATTTCAGATTATCCCCCATCATTCAGTAACATAGTTTTTAATTGAAATTTTTATTTCAATTAGATAGCTGCCCATTTCCCCAAGTAATGCAAATTTTTACCAGCAGAAAGAAAACAGAATTTATATGTTTATTAAGTATCTGAACCATTCACACTGCTATTTTCACACACAGCATTACGACATTGATGCCCGAGTTATTTCGAGCTAATTTTTGTATGGTCCCTTTAAGAGTCCCACAGCTCTGCCCACCATGTGACTTCATGACGACTTCCTGCCACTATGTATTGTATTGTTGGAAGGTATACCTGCGTCATTAAGAAAAATACTGCCCTTTGATAAGATCAAGGATTATTAATAGAAAACAAATAGCCAGATTACAATGTAATCTAATTTCAGTGCGTCCAACAAAGACTGTTGTTAAAATAAAGCAGCCTAAGAAAAGCTTAAATTACCACTAAAATTAATGAACCGCAACAATAAAGTCGCCCGTTAACAGTTGGGCTGGGAAAAAGGCTGTTGATTTAATGTGAGAGCACTTAGTAAGGAGAAATACCTTGAGGTTGAGCAATGTCAGATTTTCCTCCATTAAATGGTCCTCGCTGGTTTTAACAGTAAAGATACGATAAGCTTCAGGCCATTTCAGACCTTTTTTCACCTCTTGTTCATATAGACTCAGGCTGCATTTAGGGCCTTTTAAGCCTTTCAGCGGCACACATTGGCATTTTGTGATTAAGATATTCTTCCCCGTTTCCTGTAATCAGCTGGAAGGTGGCCACCTACTTCGCCCGTGTGGTTTTTCTTACGACTACTTTGTGGCAGGTTCATAAATCTCCGAGTGAGTCAGCACTGTGTTACATCTACATGTACGCTGTCACAAATGCTTAAAGACAAAAACATGAAAAAATAAAGTTTAGCTATTAGAAAAAAATCCTGAGAAGAAGAAACTAAGACAAGGTAAACAGAAACATAAAACTAATGAAACGGATTCGGTAAGAGCTCATAATACCGCCGTGTCGGGCATGTGGTAGAGCTGGGCCGGAGGTGTCAAGGCTCACACAGCCCCCCCCCAGGCCCCAGCACGCACACACGCAGCTCAGACACACACACACCCTCCCTGTGGGAACAGCAGCTCGAGGCAGGGGCAAGCAGCCAGCTGGCTAGACAACATGCTTCTCAGGCTGAGGATGTTTTTTTTTTTTTTTAGGTCTGGAGTCTGGAGCTGTTTCTCTGCCTCTCTTTGCAACCCCAGTGGGAGGCACTTGGCACGCAGCTCCGACGTTCACAGCTCGCAGACCGCGCCATGCTCTCCTCTATGCCCTACTGCCACCCAGTGGACATAAGGGAGAGTTACAGGTTTGAACTTGTCACACAACTATGTCACTCTTATGAATGGATCAAAAAGCAAAACGCACATACTTTTTAATTACTACTCGAAACAATCTGATCCAGGGATAACTATATTTTACTGCAAAAAGACAAGGAATTACGTCGTGACCCTAACCAGGATACATAGTTAGAAAATGGACTAAAGAAAGACAATTATTTTATTTGCATTTAGTTAATTAGTGGATGCTTTCTCAAAAACAATTTACAGCTTTTATTCCAATATTCAAAGCTGTGTATGTTAATGGAGCAATAATGGTTAAGATTTTTTTCTTAAAGACACTGCAGGGGAGTCATTCTTAAAGCGAATCTGGTACCTACTCATTAATCTATACTTTTAATGTGATATGCTTCATGATTGTCAGAAATGTTAGTAGGTGCCTAAAGCAGTTAAATAAATAAAATAGCGTTTGCAGCTATCCTTGACTCTCTAGGTGTATGTCAGAATGTAGTCGGGCCTACTCATGCCTGTAACCATACCCTTGATTTAATTATTAGTCATGGCATCCTGGTGGAACATGTATCTATTATGCCTCAGAGTCCTCTGCTCTCAGATCATTACTTGCTAACGTTTGAAATCCAATATAGCCTCCCGTTGACCACAGCTCCAAAGTACAGAATCAGACGTTCCACTGCCTCACTAACTACAACAACATTTATGAAACAACTTCCACAGTCCTTCAGCCTTACATCTGAAGCATCGTGTGTAAATGAACTTCAACAGGCAACTGCAAACATGGAAAAATCCCTTCGTAGCACACTAGATCTTGTAGCTCCACTTAAGAAGATAAAGCATAGCGATAAGAAACCTGCCCCCTGGTACTCTGATCATACACGTGAACTCAAACAGGCATCACGCAAGCTAGAGCGCAAATGGCGCTCAACTAAACTAGAAGTTTTCAAATCTGCATGGAAAGAGAGCCTGTCTAAATACAGACAAGCACTAGTAACTGCTAGGTCTGTGTATCTCTCCAGATTAGTAGACGGGAACAAAACCAATCCAAAATTCCTATTTGAATCCATGGCTAGATTAACACAGAATTCTTCATTAAACTCACAAGTCCCTCAAGCTCTTAAGAGTGATGAGTTTATTACATTTTTAATGGTAAAATAACTAAGATTAGACAGACCATCCAGTGCACATCCTTAGCTACCTACGGCTGCCAGCCTCCTGCTAGTCTTATGCCTACCAATAATGTGACCTTTGAATCTTTCATTCCTATAAAACACTCAGAACTCTTGAGCTTAATTTCCTCCTGTAAATCCTCTACTAGCCTCGTAGACCCAATTCCTACAAAATTCTTCAAGGAAATTGCACCGCAGATTAGCAATACCCTGTTAAATGTGTTAAACTCATCTCTTAAGCTTGGATATGTTCCAAAACCTTTTAAAATGGCTGTTATTAGACCCGTCCTAAAGAAACCAAATCTTGAACCTAGTGTTTTAGGAAACTATAGACCAATCTCAAATCTTCCTTTCATTTCAAAGATCATGGAAATGGTTGTAGTTCGTCAGTTGTCTTCTTTCCTACAAAAAAATAATACTAATGAATTATATCAGTCTGGCTTTAGACCAAACCATAGCACAGAAACTGCTCTAGTTAAAGTAATGAATGATTTGCTTATGGCTTCTGACCGTGGCTGTATATCTCTGTTTGTATTACTAAAGTAACTGCAGCAATCGATACTGTGGACCATAATTAGAAGGTGTAGTTGGCATTACGGGGACAGCACTCTCTTGGTTCCGCTCATATTTAACTGATCGCTATCAGTATGCCCATGTGAACAACGAATCATCCAAGGTCACCAAAGTCAAATATGGTGTCCCACAGGGATCAGTACTGGGCCCACTACTGTTTACTCTATACATGCTACCTCTTGGTAACATTATTAGAAATCATGGTGTTGGGTTTCATTGTTATGCAGATGATACACAGCTGTATATATCTGTTAACCCTGATGATACATCACTCCTATCTTGGTTAGAAGACTGTCTATTAGATATCCAGTGCTGGATGGCAAAAAAATTCCTTATGTTAAACACAGAAAACACAGAAGTACTGGTAATTCGTCCCAAGGCTGCGAGAAATAAGTTTCACCAACTCAGCATTAGTGGTCTTCCTACACAACCTAACACGGTGGTTAGAAATCTTGGTCTTCTAGTNTAGCCAAGCTTCGTAAGATGCTCTCACTTCGTGATGCAGAAAAATTAATACATGCCTTTGTAACTTCCAGACTGAACTACTGTAATGCCCTCCTTTCTGGTTGCCCGTCTGGATCCTTACATAAACTTCAGCTGGTACAGAATGTTCTCACAAACACTAAAAAATTTGATCGCATTACACCGGTCTTATCCTCCCTTCACTGGTTACCAGTTAAGTCTCGGATTGACTATAAAATACTGCTATTAACCTATAAAGCACTGAATGGCCCTGCACCAGAATACCTTGGTGATCTGCTGACCTCATACAACCATCCGTGCTTGCATTGTTCTCAAGGCGCGGAATATCTGTTAGTACCCAGGGTAGAAAGAGCTACGGCAGGCTGCAGAGCTTTTTCCTATAGAGCTCCTCAGCTGTGGAATGGTCTTCCACCGGATGTGCGGGTTTCAGGCTCACTCTCAATATTTAAGTCTAGACTAAAAACACACCTGTTTAGTTTAGCTTATAGGGACACTAGTTCTAGCTCTAGCTAGCTTCTCACTCCCAGTTAGACCTATAGTGTGAGGTGTAGAGCTGGGTGGGGATGGGTGCCATTGGCTTTGGATAAACTGAATTGACAGTGCTGTCACTCTAGCTTCACAGTTGCTTGTGGGATTGGAGTGCTGACATTTCAGGGACTCCCCATGCCTGCATTCACACCTGCCTCTCCCTCCTACTTATGCTGCCATAGCCATATCTGCCGGAGCTTGCACACTGCACTTCATATTGCACTCACCTACCTTTTAGTACTGCCTATAGTCTCCCCTACTTTGACTAATTGCACATTTTATTTCCTCTACTCCTCCTGGGGGGAAATAATCTCCTCCTTGGATTGCTAATGCGTTATACAAAAATAAATTTGTTTTGTTTGTTGTTGTTAGGGAAGTGCACTTGTAATTGAAAGACTGCTAGTTCAAATCCCAACTGGCAAAGTACCACTGAGGTACCCTGAGCAAGGTACCGCTCCCAAGCACTGCTCCCCAAGTGCAGAATTAGATGCCCCCTGCTATGTCACAATGTCACATATGGCTTAAATGCAGAGGACACATTTCGTTGTCGTGCGGTGGTGTGTCAACAATGACAACTAATCACATTCTTTCTTCTAGCAGAAGTGAAGGGATGTAATGTGACAGTTAGATGTTCAAGTGTGTTAAGAATCTGTTGAACTGACCCTGTTCAACAACTGTATCTGATATCCCATATGCAGCCAACGAGTAGCCTAAATGAGCAAAAGTAGTTAAACCTCAGAGTAAAACAGACAAATCATACCAATTACTTTGTTTTCATTGAATGAAATGCCTTTGTAATGGAAAACAGTTTTATTAAAAAAAAAAAAAAAAATTGTATTGTGTCAAATCAGTAAATTTCAGGGATTTTAGACAAGAAAAAGTTTGGTGTTCACTAATACATCAATACTGGAACACTACATTTGAAACTGTTGGAGTACGCCGTCTCGACTTACTCCAACAAAACCAACGAATTTCCAAAAAGCTTTTTGCTTCACTATTTCAGATGAAATCTGTTTGTGAATTAGACACACCTTCCTGAGCTCAGAAATATTTTTTTATTTAATTTTTTTTTTTAATTCCCTTTGAGCTATAGTGCCTTTCCTACAATGGGCGGAGCAAAAAAAAAAAAGATAATTCAGAGCATTTTCTTATGACCTATAACTTCATTTAACGTCTCTGTATTGCTCAGTTATACCCAGTTGGAAAGCTCAGAAAGTCATCTTTTTCCTGGCAAATTCAAAGATTACATAAGTGTCTTTTTTCAAGGGTCAAAGTTAATCTCGCAGACTGCACTATGTACTACTTGTATATACAATCACTGACCTGTCCCTTGGTCTCCATTAAATGCACCCTAAAAGTGAAAAATGTCAAAAAATGCCATTTTAAGCCTCAATAAAAGGAGGGGTAATTTTTTTTTTTTACATAATAGGGAAGTAGGTCTTCGCCTGCTTTCAAACGCAGCTCAGCCTTACAGTTGACCCATGAATGTAAAAGAAATGAAACACTGTAATAAGCAGATCAGTTAAATATGCTTAAGATAAGAGACAATCCAAAGCACAGCTGCTAAACACCTTTAGTTTCTTACAGGGAAGACAGACAGGTTCAAAATCAGGCATGGAGCTGTCGTCCCTTTTTCAAAGTGCTCATTTTCAAAATCCCACCAAACCAGATTTACTTCAATATCTAATACTAATTTAGAAGCTGTTGTCTCCACCCACTGAACACCCCAGCAATTTAAGTTTTCAGTATAAGAACTGCATTGATAATTGCATTTGAGAGGATGAGCTAACGGAAGAACATCCATCAAAAGGTCGAGATGAAGGAAAAAAGAAAGAAGCAACGGTTGTGGTCTTAATCACAAACTGAACGCTGGACAGGCCGCTTGCACTTGTTTCAAGGCGCGATGCCGGTCGACCGGTCTTTGTCATTATAATACCTCGCCATTAGCAGGACAATGGAGGCGCGCGCCGAGCCCCCCGTCCCGCGGCATCAGGACGCTTCTCTCGCAGCCCCCTTTACAAAATCGGCTTGTAAACCGACACACGAGTCGCCGCCGCGCTGCACTCCTCCGTTTAACATATGCTCCGATGATTTCCAGCATACTTGTGTTACTCTGCTTTCACGTTCTGCAAAGATTTATTTACTATTACCCCGGTGACAAAGATTACTCATGCACCGTCTGGCCAAGGACGGAATGATTCAATGAAGTGGGTTCAATAAGCGACAAATTCCCACTATAATTAGCATTTATATATATATATATATATATATATATATATATATATATATATATATATATATATATATATATATTGTATATACCTTTAATAAAGGAGCTATTCATTATCTAGCAGGAGAAACAAATTACTGTGATAGACTGCTGATTTTGTAACGTCTAGCATATCTGTAATAGATTGCATTACACGGTCGTTACACGTATACACATGATTGTGTGTTTGACAAGTGGTGCCTTCCAGGTATGAGTAGGAGGGACTTATCAATGCCCGTATGAAATGTCGCGGCAAGTAAGGGCTGTGTGCCGTGCTTTAAAGTTTAAAAATTCACCAATAAGCCCGGTCAAAGCAAGCTTTTCGTTTTAGAAGTTGGGAATACCATCGAAAACGAGGAATCGTAGTTAAAATCAGTCTGCAATATACCGGAACAGGCCTCACAGTAAGATCTTCATACAAAATATTGCTTGTTAGCCGTCATTCAGGAGATTTAGAAATCACTGTAAGCAAAACAGCACGCGCGCGCGCACACACACACACACCGTTAGCAAGTAAGAAAAGACTGCATGTTGCACTACCTTTTCCAACCAACTCAATTATCAGTTCCGACCGCCTTATTTAGCGGTGTAAATTTGTTTAACGGTGTCCCTTAAAATATAGTTATGTTACACGATACTTCAGTGAAAATCATTAAGTTAAATACAGTGACTCACGCGCTGTTCTGCCTCAATCGCGTTGAGACAACAAGTACAAACACCGTACGGCTTCCGTATCAGAATAAATTGCTATTCTTCCGTTTCTCGGAAAGCGGATCTTTCTACAGGAGATCGATGTTTCCGGCGGACCCAATTATGGTTGCAAATCACCGTAACGTCATATTCGGCATTAACGTCTCGCAGTTTATGTGCTGTATTTCTGTGTGTGTATTGTAAGAACGGACATTGGTATCATGACGGCATTTTACTGTCTGTTTTTAGGAAACAGCAGTATTATGCTGATGTCTGGAACAGGGCAGCATTTCAGAATGTGTGCATGTGATGTTTAGCAGTTGTTTTTAATTTTTGGCGAAATTTTCATGAACTTGTTCTGCAGACCAAGGATGGACATGAATCTTTGCACATTTAATTAAAATAAGCTTTTGGTAAATGGGATTGCTAAAAACGCGAATGAACAAAAAAAAAGATTTGGGAATCAGCACGTGGAGAAACATACAAAAACAAAACACAAGTTTCTGGAGCAGCATGCGCTGTATTTGGGTTGGGGGGAGAATAGGGCCCGGTCTTATGTAATGATTGTAAATAAGGAACAGGTAAAGTGAACAAATGTGCTTGTCAACTGACATTTAAACTGTTCGTTCCAGTTTTGATTTGTACGATAATGTACATCTAAACCCATTGTATTTCTCTCGTAAATTTCACTGATTAATATGTCAGTAAATCAAGAGAGTCAAATTCCATCCACCCATCCCTCTTCCATGAGCGCTTATCCAACACGGGCCTGTGAATAGCCTATCTCATGATGCGCAACGCAGGAGTCGTATTCCATAGACTGATATAAAAAAAAAAAACATCATAACATTAATGTTTATAACAGACAGTAACAGCATGACATCAGTAGCATATTAACCTTTACATAACATCAAAATGTATAATCTTATTTGGAGCGTTTATGCATTGTTATGCTTACTTAAATATCTTTTTAATTTCATGGCACAATGACGTAAAAAATAGGCTTAAGTCAACGGAGCAGGTGAACCAGGCCCTAGCGGAGGCCTCCACGTTAGCGGTAACAGGCCGGTCATGTGACCAGAGCTTGATCACGTGAGAATATGAGTCAGCAGCATGGAAGTTGTCATGTCTGAAAACGGCATCTGATGCACATAAACATTGCCTCGAGTGGGTTTTTAAAGCTGGCTCGCTAGCTAGTCAGCTAGCTGTGTCCCGTTCCGTATAGTGGTGTGTTGTGCTGCATCTTAATATCGAGGATTAAGTGTAAAGCGATGGAGTGGCTGGTCGGCGAGGGTTCCGTGTTTCCCGAGGAGGACGTGAGTCGTGGCGCCCGGAGCTCCGCACCGCTGTATCAGCAGGTACCAGCTACTGTCAGACTCTCTGAAATGCCGCATCATCTGAAGCATTTCCCGTGTGCTCAATAAACAGCAATATCCCTCGGCAAAATTATACCTTTAAGATACTGAATCATTATATATCGAGTACCGCGTTAAAATGGACATCTGGCTTCTAAGCTGGTTCTTTAAATGTAATGTAAACAAATGAGTACAAATACTTTACTTACAGTCGTCTCGTGCATCTTGAAACGTTTGATTACTTTTATTACTTTTCATTAGTTTTGAAGTTTTTTTTCCAGTGTACTTCCATTGGTTTTCCTAAAATGACTGCAAGTTTTTGTTAGCTTATGTGGTACGATAGCTAAATTTAACCATTTTATGTTTATTTTATCCATGAAAGACAATGCAAAGCTCCCGCAGTAAAGATGAAATGTACCGTAATGGGCAGCCTGAAGTGTCGCTATGTGCCAAAATATTTTGCCCATCAAGGAAATTCTATTTGTGGATACTGATGCTTTGGCTATGAATAGTTTTTTTTAATTAAGTTTCCTTTATTTGCTGTTGCGTCTGAACAGAAGCAGGCCGGGCCACGTTATTACTTCATTGCTGTGAACCTAACAGAGGTTTTAGGAACTGCCTTAACGAAAAGCGCTAAATTTGTGGGGGCAGTTGTGTAGCTGTTAATGTCACTTTCATGTGGCAGAATTTAAAAAGCCTCTGAATGAAGCATCAGCAGAAGTGGTAATTAAGGCCATTTAATCCAATAAGGATTAATCACTATCTTCCCACAAACTCCGGCGGGTTGCATCATCTAAAGCTCAGGGTCGCACCCCGAAAAGGCCGCAGCTGCAGCGGGCAGACGGGCGCCTGTCTCCGGTTTCCGAGTCCCTCGCCGCCTGGTGCCGAGCCTGGGGGGCACCGTGGCGCTGAGCCGGACGAACGCTGACTCTGTCTATGTCCCGCAGCCGAGCGCGGAGAGCATGGCCTCGCTGTGCCAGAGCCAGCAGCAGTGCGTGAAGGCCTCCATCGTGTCCGGCTGGCAGCTGGCGGAGGCGCAGGACCAGCTGTGCGGCCTGGAGCTGCACGGCTCCGAGTCGGCCGAGCAGGAGCACGCCCGCGCCCAGGCCGGCTCCGCCGAGCTTTTCCAGACGGAGCGCGAGTGGCGCCATAAGGAGAGCATGCTGGGGGGCGGCGACCTCAACCGGAGCACAGTGCTGGGCCCGGACTGCAGCCGGGACGTTTTCAACAAGGTAGGGCGATCTGTTGCAGCCCCGCACCCCAGCAGCAGCATCATCGGTATGATTTCCATGCGTTTAAAGCTGTATAGCTGACCCGCTTCATGTAAAGCAGCCTGTATACTGTATTATTTACTGCACACGTCTGTATGCTTCTCACATTTATATGTTGCTGTATTTTTACTGAATCCGTTTAGACTCGGCTGGTTTCCTCGGGGAGCATCAGCAAGGTCTATTGTGGAGCCTAAAGCAAACTTTTCTTTTGCTGCATCTACTGTGATCCATTGTGCTTGAATTATATATGGAAAACGTGGATATTTGCTGTATCTTAAAACGTTTGATTTGAGACACTTTTATAATAAATCATTATAAAGTGTCCGTGCTCCAGTGATGCTTTTAATGCCTGCCATTTAAAATGATTTGCCATGTAAGCGGGTCGCATTACATTCTGAGCTTTGCTTTTGTTTTCTTTCTTTTATGTTTTAAGAGTATTATTAATGTTCAGAGTAGGACTGTGGAGGTGGAAAATGACAGGAGTAAAACCTTCGTTCAGAAGTACGAACAGCAGCTTAGACACTTCGGTAAGTTTATTATATTATATTGCCCATTGTACAGATACTGCGTATAATTGTAATGTCCCTTGTACAGATACATTTCAATGTGGGGACATGAAAAATGTCCCTGCAAGCTAAAATAACAGCCCTGTGACTCCTCTTCTCTCCACGTGCTTGTGTGTCCACACAGGAATGCTGAGAAGGTGGGACGACAGCCAGCACTTCCTCTCAGATCACTCCCACATCATCTGCGAGGAGACGGCCAACTTCCTGATCCTGTGGTGCTTCCGGCTACAGGCCGAGGAGGTCGGGTCACGCCGCTCTGCTCGGCCAGACGCGTCTCTGCTTATGCTCGCCTGTGTTCCTCTCACGCTGGTGTGATGTCGCCTAGTTCACTGGTCACTGTAGCCACCCATTGCCCCCAAACATCAGGCTTTGGAGAACTGAGTCAGCATGTCATAAAGAAATGTCTGTTTGACCTTGTGCTGTTTGGTTCAGCCTGTTTTTTTTTGGTTCAACATTGGGGTCTAATGGCCTGTTTAGTGTGGAACAGACAAAGCGATTCCTTGGCACCCACCCCAAAGGGTGTGCTCTCATTCCTGAGAATCAGGACGAAGACAAGAAAAAAAGTCTAATGGCTGGGTATTAGTTAATTTTAAAAATGTTCTTCATCTGCCATTTTTTCCCCGTTTCCAAAAATGTATTGTTAGATTTTTGAACGATTCTAATTTGCAAGCATTCGAAATATGTTAAGGCATTGCCTTTTATAATACGAGAAAGACTTATGATGTTTCCATAGGAAAGCACTGAAGTATTTTAAGTCACTGAATGGTTATAGACACCTCCCTCAACATCTAATCTTGGAAGGCTGAACTAATGCATAGAACAGTAGGTGATGCAGTGGTCCTGGTCTGACCATAATGTGAATGACACTTCTGGAAGATTCCACAAAGTACTGAGTGACTGACCTTTTAAAGCAAATGTCTGCTAATGCTTCCAGTCATGGTCTTCCAGTCTTACCTCTCCTCACTCATAATGCCTGAATACTGAAAGTACAAAATGCTTAATTATACTGAGGAAGATGATCTTGCTGTTTCACGCACTGACAACATGGTGAGAGAGAAAGATACTCTATATCTTGTCTGCTAATGACTTCCTTCAAATACAAATCAAAATTTGGGTGACTTTGCCACTACCTTACATGTTACATTTATCTCACCATTAACTTCCATGCATGAAACTCATTGTTTCAGCTATTTTTCCAATTGCCCAAAAGGCTTGTCCACTTATGTCCAAGAGTCTTAGAATTAATAGTGAATAATTTTATGATGATCATTGAAATGATAATGAGTCACTTTTATTATATAAAGAGATAAATAAAACTTACAGAAGTTGGAGGATGTAATATTTGTCTTTGTCTTATGTATTGTGTATCCTCCCTTTGGAGGACACACTGAGTTGACCTTTTGCTCTCATGTCCAAACTACGTTTTGATCCAATGAATATATTCGTCCTGTTCATCCATTTTTTTTTTTCCCCGTTTTGTTTTATTTGAGAGTCATGACCCATTATTGAAAACGACAAATTTTGCTACAGCTGCAGTCATACTGTAAAATCCTTTCCCACACGCTCGGATTGTGCCGGCGCCGCATCGCCGTCTAGCTGCGGCGCTTCCTGCGGGAGCCCATGCGGCGACAGCAGGTGTCAATGGCTTGGCTCCCCTCGGCTGCTGACGGAAATGACTCCCTCTGCTGCTCTCTCTCTCCCAGAAAGAGGCCCTGATGGAGCAGGTGGCTCACCAGGCGGTCGTCATGCAGTTCATCCTGGAAATGGCCCACACCTCTCACAGGGACCCCCGCGGCTGTTTCCGGCAGTTCTTCCAGAAGGCCAAGGTAAGGCACATTCAAAAATGTTCCACCGCGGTTAATGACGCTTCTTTATCTCTTCTCGCCTACCCCATCTTGCTCTCCATGACACACAGACACATTTGTAGGGGAGAGCAAACTTGGCAGCAAAGGGTAGCTACCTGCAGAGGCACCCAGCTGGGGTTTTAAGGGCCTCACTCAAGGGCCCCACTCAAGGGCCCACGGACATGTGACTATCCTGCATAGGCCGGGCGAGAACCGGCAACCTTCTGATCAGAGGCACACAGGCTTAGCACACCAAGCCACGTGCTGTTCAGGGGAGCCTGGGTTGCATTATAATTGTGGTCTTTTGATACAGACTTAACATTTGTTAATCTTGTGTGTCAAAATGTTGTATTACAAGGTAGTTCATAGCAAAATTACTTAATGGTCTGAACAAAGTTGATACAGGTAAGAATTCAGTTTTTCCTAGCTTTACATTATCTGATTTAAACTAATTTCCAGCAGGTGAAGGGGAGAATAGATGATATATGCTCAGTGCCTAATATGTACCTGTAAATTATTAAATCAAAGGGGAGGTTGAGGGAAACGCATGCATTTTGGGAATTTCTGCACTGTACATGTAGAAACGTTATATTGTTTGACCACTAGGGTGCGACATTCCATAATATCGCAGTTACCCGTCGTTAATTCAATGACTACAAAGGCAAGACACTGTCCTCCTTATGGCTGCTGTGGCATTTAAGCTATAAACACATATTCCAAATGCTTATAAATGCAAAAGAAATTGTTTAAAATCTACTTTTTTGTTTATAATCCACGGTTACGCCCCTACGCCTGTCTAAGGTAATCGCTGTCTCCCTCAGGCAGGGCAGGAGGGCTATTTGGATGTCTTCCAGAAAGAGCTAGAAGCCTTCAAGCAGCGGGTGAAGGAGTACAGACTGAAGAGCAAAGGGGAGCCGCAGAAGGACGTGGAGCCGCAGAGAGCCCCCGGCTGCTGCCGTTTGGACCCCAAAGAAGTCATGGAATCGCTGCCCCCGGTTAGCAGTTTTCTTTACTTACTTATGTGGACATTAAATGCCTTTAAATTAAATCCTCTATTTTACCCTAATTTTACACTAGGACCTGGAACTGTGTTACCATGTTTCTGCATTTAATAGCATTTCTGTGCATTTTAGTCTTTGAAATGTTAACGTTAATGGAACTCTGGAAAAATATTAACTTGCATAGCTAAGGTGAGTAGATATACGCTTGGTAAGTTTATATTATATATTAGTAATATATGTCGTACAAGTTGTTTCTTGTAAATATGCCAATGACTGGCACAAAGGGCACACATGAAGTAGATACTGGAAGACTATAATATGGCATTTGTGATGAAATGAGAGATATATTATGAATTGATTATGAGGATGGTAGAAATCTTAAAAACGGCCTTTTCCCCTTTCAGGACCTAAAGGCAGGTCTGCAGATGCAGGATATGCAGACTCTACAGAATGTCCTTCGCAGCATGAATCCACAGGTACCCAGCTAGGTTTGTGTATTTTCTAGAAGTCCACAGGCATTGTTTTCTCTGGTTCTTGGACATTTTCTCATCTTAAGAACATAGCTCTGCTTATTATAAGTTGTTTAGGGGTGCAATACAGTACTCATGTAGTCGTCGTCCCTGCAACAATGTGCCGATACCTATAACTGATACCACGTGATGACATGTCATCAACGAGCAATGACCACAGAATGTCTGCGGGGAGGGGGGGGAGTACTTAAACACTGGTGAACAAAACCAAAATAAAATGTATTGCAGACTGTGCTCTGCTAAAATATAATGAGGAGGTACAGCACAAGTCCATCCATGTTTAATCTCATTAAACATCTAAGAACATAAAAACAATAGAGTTGCATCAGCTTTGCTGCTTCGACCCCAATGGATGACGAAATAGCATCCAGTAGCACTCTACAACTATCCATCGTGTCGCAAACGGCAGCATGGAGAGAGAAAATGTCAAATGATGAGCCTTGTGCAGTCAAAACCCAGTATATTGTTACTGATGATGAAGCGTAATGTCGTAACGGTGGTACGTGGGAGAGTGTAAAGTCTAGTACTTCTGTCCCACACAGGATTAAGGTGTGTATGTGATGCATGGACTTGTGTACATGCTACATTTGTCCGTGGACAGTGGCGGTTGGTGCAGGCATACAGCAGTGATATTCCACCAGACCAGCAGAGGGCAGATGTATTGCAACTAATACAAATACAAACAGTGTAGCGAGAGATGCAAACATTTATGAACAGTTTGAAGGTTGTTACTGGTCATGAGCCTCCCCCCCCCCCCCCCCCCCCNTTCAAGATTTCAAAATGCCGGAACGGCGGTGTTTTTGCAAATACTGTATACCGCGGTGTAATATCTCAACGCTATGAACATTTATAGGTGATTACACTATATGCATGTTTTAATGCTTGCTGTTTAGCAGATTATTCATGCATTTTTTTCATGCTTTCGAGTTTGGTATCAATTTGGTTGCTGTTTGGGTTACGCTGTACGAATGGCATAGGTTTCTTTAGTGTCTTAAATAGCCATTAAGTAGTGCTGAACGATGTATCGATTTCAAATCGAAGTCTTGATTTGAAACAACACAATTAATAAATCACAAAGGCTGCAATTTGCCAAATGCATTATGCAGCACATCTGACCCAGGGTTTTAAAAAAATTGTTTTACAAATTCATGCCATCCTCCTTGTGTGCCAGCCATGCTCACCAATCGGAAGTGACCTAAGGTGGCTGCGTATACGCCCACAAATGGCAAACACATGAAACCAAACAAAAACGTTACGTTCACGATAAAAAAAATATGTATATATTTTCCACTGCTGAGCTAGAAGTAAATTACCTGCCTATTTCATGGTCAGAGATTGTTTACAGAAAGGTCCTTTTATTTATAGAGTGATTATGACAGAATTCTGTGGTTGTTTAAAATAAATTTGCGTACTTGTAATTCAGTTTTGTACACCCGTGCGGAGATTTGCGCACTTGTGTTTTAATTTTGTACACCGGTGCAGCAACCAAAATGTTTTGTACACTTGTGTTTTCAAAGCTGTAAATATGCGACTTTGAAAGCACAAGTGTGCAAAACTTGTGTAAGCAAACTTTGCTGTATGGGTGTACAAAACTACATGTGTGCGAATCTCAGCACGGGTGTACAAAACTATGCAAATCTATTTTACACATCAACAGAATTCAGTCATAATCACTCTGTAATTATTCGGGGGACATAGAGCTGCAGGATCCCTTTTCTTTCTTGCTGGAATTCTTTTATTATTTTATTACTTTTTTAATTTACCATAGTCACAGCTTTTTGTGATTTTAGGGTTTTATTTTTGATTGTTCTCTGCTAATTTAACCCTTGTGTATTTGTATTACTAAGGGGAAAAAGCAGTCTTAAAAAACTGCAGCACTTAAAATGTGTGTGTAATTAATATAATCACTTTACTGTGTTCAGGTCGCTAGCGACACAGCACTTTTTTTGGCAAATAAATGGCCATAAAACAATTTTAAGCAGGGACATTTTAAACAATGAATTGATTTAATGATTCCCTGGTAAACTTAGCATCTTAGGGCATCTTGTGTGGTACCTTCTGACTGGACGCTTCACACTTAGTCAGTAAGTAACATACAAGTTCCTGGGGATTTTCTTCACCCTCCCTCAAATTGACCAGTTGGCTGGTCATTCCTCATATGACAGGCATAGTAGTGTGACTGGTTGGCCCTTCAGTAAGGCCCCTAACCCCAGTGGCTCCAGTGACACTGTCTAACTCTGCTCTCTCATCCTCACATGTATGTTTCTTTGGACACAAACCACCTACTAAATACATTGAATTTCTAGTTTTGTGAAGGAATTGGCTTCAGCAAGATGTATCTCTGAAAGGGTGCTTTTGTTAGTGTTAAGAGAAATCATGATTGCTCCATTAAGCTTGTGTAACTGATTAAAAAAAACTGTTATTTTCATAATTCTGCTGTGTATTGCTGCTCTTTTTATTGCTGTTCATACAGGCAGCTTTGCAGCATTTCTGCAGTTTTGGTTAATGTGGATTGTAGTCATTGTGCAATGTCAGCATCGTTTTAAGTGGAAGCTGAAGAAATGGCAATTTGGCATGAGAAACGGCTTGGTTTCACTCTCTCTCTGCTGTTATCCAACATAAACCAGTATTTCAATTAGGGGGTTGACCTTACACGAAATTCATGGTTTGGTAAAAACCTCGGTTTTGGGTTCAGTTCGGTGCAGTTTTGGTACAGCTGGGAAAACAGAATTTGTTTTGAATTAGTTACTAAACCCCAATTTTATTTATTTTGCCTGCCCTGGATTTCTTGGGAAAAGCATCTGCGCTGACATGGGGAGACAAACGCCGAGGCTATTTCTGCCTTTTTCTGGTCTGACACACAATCAGATGATGTCATCTCAAACGACTTAGCACTTTATGTTGTGGAAACACATTTTATACAAGTTCTGTATAACAGAGCCAGCAGACAGTCTTGGTCATACCAACTAGTCTTTCTCCAGTGCTGGTGTAATTTATTGGCAAACCAAAATCTTCCCAAACTACAGATTGACTGACTAACCAGCATTAGCTGTAACTAACAATTAACTTGCAACTTGCAATGTTTTCCGTGTTGAATATCGACTTGTGAATTTATGTTCAGCCCATGTCAACAAATGAATACCTTTGGTTCATTGTGTGTACCAAACTGAAAATTCTGTATTTGTTGTATACTGTTTGCTACTTGTATTGTTACAGCTATAGTTTAAATTCTTTGAATATCCTCCTGAGACCCAAGGAAAAAAGTGTCCTTCAATTGTAGGTTATTTGTCTTTGGAGGAAATAAGACATCTTACAATTTAGATTTTTTCAAATTTAATTTTTATTTTTAATTTTACAGCATGTCCTCTTTAGTGTACAACAGGAATAAATATGTTTCCTTACATCAGTGAAAGGATAAATGCAAAAACAAAATGTCCACTACAATGGACATAAATGAATGGATGGGGTCTCAGGAGGTTACTGCTGAATTTAAGGAACAATTTATTCAGTCGCCATTTCATACCTAAAACGAGTGAACAATTTTATCCAATGGAATTCAATTCGGTTTATTACACGATAGATGTTAATACCAGAGGGGAGATTAAGTTGCAAACAGGGACAACATTTTAGCTTGTCCTGAGCTCTGTGTATGGTTCTTATCTGTAGACCAACTTAAGTAAATTTGTTTAGAGATGTGAGAGAATTGGGTGCCGACGCACTGATATCAGCAACTGTAATGCTTCCAAACGTGCGGAGTGGGGTTATAGAAAAAGTCACCATCTCACTCTGTCTTTTGGCAGGTGGCAGAATATCACGTAAAACGCTGTTTGGAGGCCGGACTGTGGAACCATGCGATGAGGGGAGGGAAAGAGGAGGCCAGTGACGCGGAGGAGCCCCGGACAATGGAGATCTCATAGAAGCGAGGGGGCCTGAGTTAGGGGGGGGGGGGGGGGGGGATGGAAATGAAAGGGCTGAGACCCAAACAGAGATTATTTTTGTATGCAGAATCTGCGTTTGAATGTGTGCTGCACTTTATATATGTTCGGAAAGAATAAAAACAACTCTTTCAGAGTACTTATTGTTTTATTTTCCTGTGTTTTGGTTTTGTTGGCTTTTTTTTTTGGGCTTATTGGAACAGAACGAGCCCTGGAGTTTTACAATCGGCCCTTTCAGTAGTGCTGCGATAATGACCAGTGATTCCAAATTCTGTATCAGCTATAGCATTAGCAACTGAAGAATTTAGGAGATTAGAAATTCTATTGCTTTTTGTTTTGTTTTTTTTTTATTATTTTTGTTTGCTTTTTTTAAACTGGGATAATTTTAATTTTTAAATTTGTTTTTGGTAGTTCAGTTTTAAAGAGGCTCTTGCTGGTGGGCCCGGGAATCCCTTGTGTATGTGATATGTCAGGTGAAATTCTCTATCGGAGGAATTGCTTCTACTCCAGTAAGGATTGCAGCTCCTCTTGATTGACCATTTAGATCAGAGTGGTTTAGACTTGCATCTGTCTGAGGCTAATTTAAAAAAAAAAAAAAAAGATTAAAGTGCGGACAGCCTTGTGGAGTACTTAGTGTTGTGCATTGCATTGCTATGCTGACTCGAAACCTATGCAAACTTCTCATGCGCAACGACTTGTAGTTCTGACGTTTCTACTGCCCTTTTTCTTGCGCCATCCTGTCATACCTGGGGGGAGGGGCAGTAGAGCTCGTGGTTACCATGACGACAGGACAAAAGTGGCAGCGTGTTGCATTCTGATGTGCTGTATGGTTGCTGCACAAAAAAAAAGCTTTGTGATGAAGCAAACTGCATGCTGATACTGACCAATAAAACCACATTTTTAGTAACAATGTAGCTTTGAAGATTTCTGTATTCCTTTTAAACAGTGCTTCCTGTATTTGTAAGAGACATCACCTTCTGGCAGGCATGTAAAATAAGCAGTGTTAAGTATGTAAAAGCTGTGACACTACATTCTCTTTAAATGGCACTTACTAAATGGCATGGGGAAACTTGAACTGGTGCATTTTTGGGTGCTATTTTTAAGTTACTTGTTCTTTTTTGAGCTTTTATTTCCAGTGACTTGGGTAATTTGATGGTATTTTCAAACTGACACACATTAGCATTGCTAATAGAATACAGATCAATCTATGCTACTGTCTTACAACCTGTGTAAACTTGAAACCTGTGGGGAAAAACAATGCCGCATAACTGACTTGAAATAATTAGCAGCATGTGAAATGTTTGGCCAGTAGAGGTCTTACTCCTGCCTAGAGTCACATACTGCTTTTGCGAGTGTGAAGCACGTAAGTGTCGCCGTGTCGGCGGTGGCTGACACATCGACCGCCAACTACTAGTAGCCTGCAGAGAACCAGTGAGTGGCTTGCAAAATGTGCATTAGAAATCAGATTAATTTAACCGAGGACCCCCCCCCTCCCACCCCACAAGCCCCAGTCAACAACTTTGATCTGAGCTCCGCAGATAATTTTCTTTGCAGAAGTAGCTCACATTGTAAATAAGGTTGTAGCCCTTTGCACTTGGTGGTTCCTGATAACTGGCTGCAAGCACCACCAAGCACTACATGCCAAATGTTTGCCATGACCAACTAAGCAGAACTCAAGACGATAATTTCCCATCAGAGGCAAAGCCATTTGCGGTAGACTGTGTGTGTGTAGCATTTACCATCATGTACTGGAAAAAGCAGAAGGTACGGTAAAGACTGGTCTTAGTGATTCTTATTAATCATGAGCTGAGAGGGTGGGTCTGCACCTCCAGGGTTCAAATCCCATCACAGTCCTGCATGTGTGGTTTGCCTGTTCCCCAGTGCTGGACTCCAGTCCTCCCTGTACTGGACAAGCAGTTACAGAAGATTGATGGACAGAAGGATTCATTTCTGCCAGGAGTCTTGTTAGCCAGCTTGGCTGAAGTTCATGCTGACACACAAGGCTGAAAAGTCAAGTGGCTCACAAGTTGATTTACCAGACATTCCTTAAATGATATATATTTTTTTGAATGGAACACATTTTATTTACAAAGGCTCACCTTCACTGCCTCAAAGAATACCAAAGGCGTACTTTATGGCTGCATCAGTGAAATGTTTATTGTCAAACATGCTTCTTAGTTTTAGCAAGAAATGCTATTTTTACTCAATCAACATAAGATTTCCTACAAAAATAATGGCAAATACCATCGGATGAGGTATGTAAAATGTAGCATTTACAGCAATCTGTATTTAAGGCAAGATTAGGTTAATATGATATTTCTGAATACCAATCAACTGTGGGTAACATTTGGGAAAAGGCAAATAACACCAACTTTGATACAATGCAAACAAAAGGAAAAGAAAACTCGGTCCCAAGTCTGAATTTACGGTCTTAATTCTCATAAAATGGACAATTTATAAAATGGGCTTTAGAGTAATGAGTAAGGAGGTAAGGGTGAATGTCAAAATTATTGAACAAAAATTAAAACCTTCTTATAAACTACAGATCATTAACATTTCCTGCAGCAGAGTATTTCAATTTTAAAATGTTACTCCAACTAACTAAGGCAATAAATGTTAGTTTCTATTGGAATGTTACTGATTCACTCTGAGAAATTTAAATAGTAATTGTAGATTTATGTACAAGAATTTACATTTTTTTCAAAAATGTAAAAAAATAACCTTTCCGAGATGAGTGAAGATGACATTTAAAATGTTAAGCCACTCAGAATTTAGCTTCATCATCTATCTATCAACAAGCAAAATCAATATTTTAGTATGAAATACTTAAAATATAGCTATGCTGCCATTTAAAATATATTTTAGTGGTTTACAAAGGCCTGTGTTCAGGAGCAAGATTAATATCAATTACAAGTTTGTGATTCGCTAATTGTTTAAAGTGCATGTCATTATTAGATATCGTGGTTTCCTTCCTCCTCTGTAAGCACAGCTTGGTTCGCTCGGCTCCGCATTAATGACAGAACGCTCAGACACCGCCTTACTCCTGAACACACGATTAAGGCAGCACAGAGTACAGCGCAGAGCACAGCAGGGCATACCAGACCAAGCCAGCTCGACATGCTACAAAATCACACCCAGCCTGGCCACAAATACGCCACTCATTCGTTACAATTACCAGTGATTAGATTTTTTTTTTTTTTTTTAAAGTCACCTTCCATATTTGACCAGTTGTCTTTCCCTTTTTGTCCCTTATAAAGTTACTCGGCTACATTTAATTTTTCCCCACTGTAACAATGTGACAATGCACAGCCTGGGCTACAGGAAGTGTTCAGAGTTCCGGAATTCCCTTCGGGGTCTGTACCTAAGCTAAGCGAACCGGCCCCGGGCCCCGGGCCCCTAACAGACTGCGGCTCCTATGCATTCCCAGCAGCCTTATGGGATCCGGGACTCAGTTTCCGAGACAGGAAAGCATGAACGTGAGGCCAGATCTTGTTGGTTTCAGTTCCTGAAAAGGTTTCCAGCATCCCTTTGCTCCTGGAGGCAAAAGAACAATGACAGGAGTCAGTGGGAAACTGAAGACGCATCTATAACATGTCTCATACTGGACCGCTAGTATTTCATGGCTTAACCATTAACTTTGACAATTTAGAAATTCCTGCGTGCCTTGTGATGGATTACCGGGTCAGCAGGGAGAGGATGGATGGGCAGGTATGCACGACCCTCTCATACCTAATCCTCAAGTAATACAATAGACAAATATTTGATTTCTCATTTCATTCATAAAGAAAGTTATAGAGATGAGGTGAGGTTTCAAGCACTCTGATAACAGGCCCAAACTCAGATGTCTAATCTCACAGCACTTTGCAACCTCCCCAAAAATCGTGATACACTTTTGGTTTCTTGTGTTTCTCTTGTGCAAACGCCAAAACAACCAATAGTGTCTTATTTCTGTTCCGTTCCACCATTTTGTCAAAGTCATTATAGTTTATATACAGCTTTCATATGATATATACTATGTTGAGCTGCAAAATACATGATGAATTATGAAAATTATAATCAGGCGATCAGCTTAATCGATTAGTTAGGCCAAACCACAGGGTTTAAAGAAAAATGCAAAAGCTTTATTTAAATAACATCGAGGTATTTTTAAGACACAGTTGTGTAAAAAAAAAAAAAAAAACTTTAGACAGTGTACAGAACCTATATTTAACATCATAGAAACAAAGATCAAAACTTGATCAAGCTTGAACATAACATTTCTTAAGAGAAACACACTAAATAACTTGCACCACTGTTTGGCGCGAGTTCATGCGGGACTCGGACGTGCCTTCTTTGGCTGCTCACGTACTATGGCTGTCCCGCTGTGCCAAGTCATCTGCAGGACACAGACTTCCATGACGGTGCAAAATGAAAAACTGATTCCACTTTTATTCCACTCATGCGTCAACCCTCCACGGACTAACCCGCTGTCTCTGCCATGTTTAGTTGAATATTTAATTCACTAATGATTTAGTTAGCACTCAAATGCTAACATCGCTAGGTGGTGATGTCAATTAAAAACTCCAAAAATGCAACCAAACGATAAAATTTGCTTTCTCTACTTTTATTACTATTATCGACATTATCAATTAGTTGTTTCAGCTCTAAATATTATGGCGTGTACAGTTATGACTGTACACATGACGGCAGGTATTGTGTGCTGTGCATGCAAGCATCAGTAAATACCACACATGGTAGGTTTTCCTTCACCTTTTCACATCCACAGCCTTCGCACTTATGAAAAAGCAATAACATCCCAGCTTATCCTACATCACAATGCTCATGGTAACTTGTTTTTCACCAGTCTGCTGCACCCAACCATCTGTCCACTCAAATTAGTAGCTTCAAAAGGGAGACGGTGCTTAAATCTCCCCACTATCCAGTTTCTGTTAATGAAGGAGTGACAGTGAATTAAAATACCCTTCTGGCCAAATCGCAGACACGGAACATGTAATAATTACATGCCGTAATACATGTAATAAATGGTCTAAGGATCTGTGAGGCTATAACGTTTTACCTGTAGTACTCGAGCACCGGCTGTGTCTGGGTCTCATAGGCCTTCAGTCTCCTGGCAACGGTGTCCGGCGTGTCATCAGACCTTTGTGTCAAGGGTTCCCCAGTGACATCATCAAGACCCTACACATAACAACGAGATGCATCACTTATTACTACATACTAAACAGACTCATGCAGTGTAATGCAACACAGACTTATGTTAGAGATAAACGGAATGCTTCACAGATACACACAGTATTACAGTATGTACAGTACTGCATGCATTTCAATCTGTAACCTCCCGAGATCCAGACATTTATTTTTGTGCTCTGTAGATAGAAGGACATTATGTTTTTGCTCATCATACCGTACATTCCACTCTGTTATCTAAAATAGAATAATTTAAATCAATGTTTAAAAATCTTTTTTTCCCTGGAATTCTGGAGGATATCTGTCATATGGGTACCACAGGAAAATTTCACCCCCACATCTACAGTCACAGACATACTGCAAAGGGAGGAGAGACTATTTTCTTACAAAATACAACCTCCTTTAAGTCCTTCAAGCCTACGAGCCATTATGCATTATTTTCCTACAGTCTAATTTGCATATTCAGGCTCAGACACATGAGGATCAAGCCCCCCACCCCCGCAGTGAATACACGATATGATCCACCATGACCTCCGAGAAACTGGAGATCTACATCTCTGCGGAGTCAGCCATGAACATGAGCACAAAATGAAACCGCCATTTTCATTCAAAGAGCAAGTGCCGTCATGTTTGTGTCTGCGTGTGTAGAACAAGTTTGCCAGAGTCTCCTTTAATACACTATTAGTTTCTGACTGTAAAGTGGGTAAATATTGAACTCAACAGTTATTGACTTAGCAAACAGAAAAGGAACCAAATTCAACAGTGTATCTGAATTGCCTGGAACTGCTTCACTTGTCTCCTGCACTGTGTATGCTCACAAAGAATAATCTTCTTGTTGGCTTATAACAAGTCAGCCCTTTGCAGGACTCATTGTCTAGGAGAGAACAAAGGTCTCAACTTAGACTTCAATAGTAATCAGACATTGTCGCGGTCTTATCTCCTCGCACTGAAATCCATCTCTGCTCTGTAAATAACATGCCGTTCTGTCTTTTTAGGGAATGAGTTTACTAAATGGGCCAAACTGAATGTGTGACCAGCAAGACTAATGCAGAAAAAAGTAACCTTCACTTAAATCTTAAGACTATACGGGGAGATTTTCCATTTATGCATTTGAATAAATATAAAAATGAGGTAATACATCAAGCGCCACGGCAGGCAAACATCGCCAGCAGGCTCCTCCCTGCCCACTCACAGGGACTTTGGGGGGGTTGAAGCTGGTGTTGTAAACCCTGCCACTGGGCAGGTGAAGCCAGCGAGAGGTCAGGCGCTCCTGGATGGTCGGGAAAGGGACGTCCAGGTTGATGACTGTGTCGACGTTGTAGGCGTCGTCTAGGGCCTCCGCCTGCGGTACGGTCCGGGGGAAGCCTGGCGGACAGGAAACGGGATGTGGCGCCTTTTCAGGGGCACATGGGGGGGGGG